TTTACCTGCTGTCTGTCTGTTCAGCTTCAGTTGTCGGCCAGTGTGTTGTAGAATTGTCTTTTGTCTTTCCTAGCACTCTTCTTTACTGCTCTATTCAGTGCAGTGTACATTGAACTCATTCTGTTGTCCGTTTTTGCATTGAGTCATCTTCGCTTTCACCATTCTCCTCTTCTATCTTCTATTAGCTTCCACATAGGTGTCCGTTGAGAGCCATACCTTGTCTTGTATTTTCTTTCTTCTTAGAACAGTCGTACACTCTTTCTTGAACATCAACTTTAGAGAGATACAGTGTTCTTCCACGCAGGTTTCCTCAGAAATACCACATAGTTTCTCTGACTTTGCGCTGATCTGATCTGTAGTGAAGGCATCCCTTGTGGTTTTGTCCTTCAGTTTCTGAATGTTGAACTTGAATTATGGTCTGTCTCCATTTGTTTTCATGGATTTCATCTTCACCTTGAAGGTTCCTTGAACTCGTCTGAGGCTACATTTGCTCCTCTTCTCGACTTTGTGTCCAGCAGACTAGCTGCGTCTCCCCTTTCTTGAGCAGTATTGAGATGAAATCTATCTGGTTTGTGGTATGTCCTCAGGCAAATCCATTTACTTTGTGCATATCTTTGTGCTTGTAGGCGCTGCCTCCAATCACCAAATCATTGAAAGCGCAGAAGTTTGCGAATAATTCTCCGTTCTCGTTCATTTCGCCGAGAGGCTCGCGACCCATGATGAGTTCTCTTCCTGTATTATTCTCAGAGTTACACTAAAACTACAATTGCTTTGAAACAGGAACAGTGTTCAAAAGAATAAGAGATTAAGAATATTTGTAAAGTATGTTTTAAAATTAGGAATAAGAAAGGAAAGAATAAGAGAAAATAAAACGAATCAATATCTAGTATACAGCAAATTATTATATTATTATTCCTATTTCAAGGCTCTTGCTATTTCAGTGGTAATCATCTCTGAGTGATACGCACCAATTAAAACTTTTAGACTATGTAATTTATTAGTTTTCTAGAGAACGATTTCATTTTTTGTTACCAACTGATATGAACAATTCATCTTATAGACATTTCGCTGACCTATTAGAACACTGTATAAATCATCACCTTTGAAATGAATTAATCATTTGTTTTTATAGTTCTCTAAATATTTTTATTTTTCCATTCGACTGTACACGGTCTTATTTAGTTGAACTGGTTATATCTGATTAATAAAAACATAATGTTTTTTATATAGTCCTTCATGTTACGAAAAACAAACTAGGCTTTTTCTTATATTATTGCTATTTTACTAACTAAATCTTTCATAGTAAGACAAGCTTATTTGTTCATTTGTTTCTCTAAAAAAAAATAACAAGGTTAGTTCTTTACCTCAAGCTAAAGGGTATAAAAATTAATCTTCTATTGACCATACCAATTTCTCTTCGAAATTGTGTTAAATCTCTAGAGTATATATATATATATATATATATATATATATATATATAAGAGAGAGAGAGAGGTGTTACTTTCATCTTCGCCGAACTAACGCACTGGTTATAAGGAAATAAATCAGATTAAGAGAATGTCAAAAAAAATGTATTATTTTTGTTTTTGATGAAAACAATGAACACTGACCAATAAATCCAGTTTATAATCTAAGTATACTTTCTTACGATTGGCTATTTTGTATTTTTGTAAGAAATCAATATGCTGAAATGCCATAATAGTATGTGGCAAAGTTATAACAACAAAAAGAAAAGTTGTACAGGCATCAAGAGTCAGACTTCCTTAGAATTTGTCTTTTATCTTGATAATGTCAAAATTTAGGATAATTCGATAAACATCTATAACAAAGTTATATTCGAGTCTAATAGCTAGGGTAATTGCCGTTATTAGTATTGACATGTTGTATTATTAAGAAAGCTGTTTATCAATATTAATTGAACATCATTCATTGTTGAAAAGGTTGGATAAAGTTATCATTTGAGTTAACACTGAATGTATCAGTATATATCTCAGAGTTGATCACTTCTCATATACTTTTGTTCACACATGTGATTTCTTATTGTTAGCATATTGTATCTACTTGTACAAGAAAATAAAAAATCTTCAAATGCAGTAGGTAAATGAGGAGTCGAAGAAGAATGCATAAGGGTAATTATATTAGTTTAAGCAGCACTCTGTATGATATACATAACTGTATTACACTATAAGTGACATTAATGAGATGTCCTTGAATAGAATGACTACCCAATCGTCTGTATTTGCTAAAGAAGCTTGTCTTGTCACATACATTATCGGCGTAAATCCACATCTCTTTTTCATGGAGTTTAAAGCAGCGCTTACTTCGGTTCACAGTAGTCCACAAAAGTATGATATATTAGACATTATATTAAGGATGATTTTGACTTTCTTATTCGAGTCTGAAATGATCAACGCGCTTAATTCATTAAGAATAAATTTATATACTCGAATTCCTTTAATGAATATGTAATAACCCAATTAAAACACATGGAACAGGATAAAACGTGTCCATTTTATATCGTCGGTGTCTTATCAATTAATTGTAAATGTGAAGATCAAATGTCAAACAATAAGATTGATTTTCAAGTGTTGGTTTGTAGGGATTTGATTGGTTCCAGGATTTTCATCATAAGCTGACTTTAGCTAGAGAACCATTGGAAATCCAGGGAGTACTGGACAGCTGTTTCGTCCTAGTTTGGGACTCTTCATCAGAACGCACCCACCGGTATATAGATGAATCAAAATGTCAACATACTTAAATTTATATAAAAACTGCTACACTTATATATGTAGTGAAACCAAAGTTTCTCGAATAAAACAAAAATTGTGGAGGATTGGTAGAAAGAGGATAATCAGGTACGTAAATCATAAGACTAGGTAAATAGAACACGGTTAATGAACAAATGAATTATGCGAAAAATATACTATGAATAAGGCTCATTTAGTTAGATATAGTCAAGACATTTAATAAATGACGATGTAACTAAGATGGAATTTCACTGTGGATATGGAGCTCATAGAAAATTCCAATTTTATAGATTTCAACGTAAAATACAAGACAGATAGTATATTTCAAAGATCCATCCACTGAAACAATACATGAAGTGTAAGTTGCTTGAATTTCATCAGTCTTCTTCTGATTAACTACAGGTGGGCACTAGTCAAAACAATATTTAACATTTTGATTGGACACTAGTAACTAGACACGTCACACTAGTTACTAGTGTCCAATCAAAACCTAGTCTTATGATTTACGTAACTGATTATCCTCTTTCTACCCAACCTCCACACTTTTTGTTTTATTCGAGAAACTTTGGTCTCAATACATATATAAGTGTAGCAGTTTTTATATACCCACTACAGTCCTACAGGAGGTCAATCGCGAGCCCGAATAGCTCAGTGGTAACGTCTCTGACTGCAGCACTGGGTGACGTGGGTTCGAATCTCAGAAGGGACATGAGTTCCTTCAAGGTTGCAGATACGCCTTGCTGATGAGTGCCAACTAGCACGAAACCTAGTTGGAAGGCTTCCTGTCGATTGCCTCTAACTATCTAATATCAACAACATTTCACAATCAATCAGATTCATCGGATCTACAGGCTGAATTAAATGTAAGCCGTCCAACAAAGACTGTATAAATCATGCTGTATTACTATTTCCGCTTGTGTTGACGAGATGCACATAAGTAGAAAACTAGGTTAGACACAATTCTTCTCCCTCATAGGAGGAAAGTATCTTAATATAGTCACTTCAAGGTCAAGAAAGTAATCCTCAATAAATCAATCAAGAGAAAACCCCAAGAATAATGGAGAGTAATGCATAAAAAGTGAAAATGAACTACAAAGTAAAAGTAACACTGTTATTTTGAAAGTTTCGTTTTACTTTCAAAAAATACAATGCAGAAGACGGAAGAAAATTTGATCAAAGAATATTCTTTTCGATAATTTCCTCTTCCGGCTCTACAATTATATATGTTTATATACAGAGAATATTCTAGAATAGTCGTCATTAACAATATTGGTGTTTTTAAATACTATCGATTTGTTAAGTAACATCAAAAGAATTACAGTTCACTAAATATGCATAAATTATAACAAGCATAGTAATATAATAGCAAATAGAATATCATATAAAATTAAAGAAATTTCCACAACAAATTGGGCATCATTAGAACCTTGATGGCCAAGGTAAGGGCAGTGTCTGAACCAGCTTATTTTGGATACATAAGTTAGGTTTCTTAATGTGGATCCCAAAAGCCTCAGCAATATGAAGTAGACGAATTCTTAGGGTGAAGTTAAGATTTGTTGGTATGCGGTAAATGACTTTGAAAGCCTCTTTAATACGAATGTTGTGTTCTCTTTCCACAAGATAAGACAGAATAGCGCTATGAACGGATTTTGTTTGTCCTTTACTTAACTGCGCAGGGTGATGTTCGAAAATTCGATGAGAAACGCACCTAATTGTACGGCCTATGTAACTGCCTCCACAGGAGCAGTCAAACTGGTAGATACATATAGAAGAGGCGAAATTAGGTAGTTTAACTTTAATTCCCGGAAAGCAAAATGATGAAGAGTGGCAGTACCTACGGTAGTTAGACTGGAATCTGGACGAAATGAAAATAAGTAAAAAGAACATTTTTGAGCCAAATTAAGCTTTACTTTTTTCCCTAGAATGTTTAGTATAAAAATATCGGTATTTCGTTTCATTTCTCCAGTATTTTCCTTCATTTATTATTATTTTAAGGTCGTTCTGATAACATCTGTATCACATCAAACCTTGCAAATTTTGTACGTTCCATGGAAAAACAATAAAAAATATGTTGTTAAAATTACACACATTATGCAAGTGAATATTCTCTTCAGCCAGTCTTACCTCTTTACATCACTGTAAGATTTTATTTCATTAGAGCTGTAGCGAAATAGGTAAAATAAAAATTTGAAAAGACACCTAAATTACTGTGGAACATCTGTTATTTTTTTCACTAGTCTGTGTATTTAACAGGTTAGGTAAATTGCAGTCACAGAATTTCATAACTTATTTAACACAACTGTATGCACACTTTAATTGTTGTGCAAGACCTAAAGGAAAGTTCGGATTTTGTACCTAAACCTTGTCTAGACACTTAGTTGGATATAGATATTCGTTAAAGTGATGAACAATTAATACAGTCCCTAAGGTGAAGTATAATGAAGTTATGAAAATAACATAGTAAATGCCAACGTCAGTCAATTTACTGATGATCGTAGCTGAGAGAAGATCTAACTGCAGAAAACTTTGTACTAATGACTGATTGAGACGAATAAGTGTATACCACCCACATTAACCAGTAGTGCTTGCTATCCACATCGAAGTCATCTGAACATTGAACAGCCATTTCTCTCGTTTGGGACTGAGTTCATCATTGGTGTACCTGGCTAAATTCGGCTCCCTGAGCCGAAATATTTCAAACCAACCGATTACTGACTAGCTACTTGGGAGAACCCGTAATCTCATAAATAAAATTCATAATCCGCAAGAAAGTACCACTGATCAATGTGAGCGGTATACAGCTACTCTCAATCAGTCGGTAGTATACGGTTTTATGAAATTGTGCTTGCTTTATTGATTACCATTTATGGTATCAAACCAATCACAAAATACCTCGGTCTAGTTCTATCTTCCGACCTTACTTGGACATCTCATATCCTAACGATTTCTAAGAAAGTGTTCTGTCTAACCTACTACATTAAGAAACTAAGACAATCTGGAATCACCCAACCTCTACTTTCACAATTTGTCAACTCTTGTATCTTACCTATTCTACTTTACTGCTCCCAGTTAGTCTTTCCTGGGCTACTGAAAAAGGACTATACCATCCTGAGAAGGATGTTGAAGGTAGTTAGTAGGACTAGTGGTGTAAAACTAAGTCAGCTCGTCACTACATTAGTTGAAAGGCATCTGAATACATGCAAAAAATGGTCTAAAACCATACTCTCCGACCCCCAACACCCCCTCTATTCCCAACTCTCGCCTTGTATCTCATCAAGTAGAACCAGAAATCAGTATAAAATAATCTATGCTCGTACAACCAAGTACAGGAACTCAACGATACAATACTTGGATCGTGTTTTAAGCGACAGAGACAATGTTAAGCGCGAAACCTATGACTTGCTTTGTTGTTAATAACATAATTTTAGGCTCTTTTATTTCTCTCTTATTTTGTTTTCTGTAGTGAACTCCTTCTTAAACACACTTAGCTACCTAAATTATTAACATTGCTTACTTTTTTGTACTTTACTCTATTCCTTCTTTTGTG